CCAACCCACTCAACGTCCTCAACCACCAACCCACTCAACTGATTCAATCACCAACCCACTCAACTTTCACTATCGCAAACCCACTCAACTTCCTCAATCACCATCACATTTAACTAGCTCACAACTTATTAAATAACCAACCCACTCAACCTCCTTAATCACCAACCCATGAAACCTACTCAATCACCAACTTACTCAACCTCCTCAATCACCAACCTACTCAACCTATTCAACCACCGAACCACTCAACTTACTCAATCACCAGGCCACTCAACTTATTCAACTACCAACCAACACAACTAACCCAATCACTAGCCTACTCAACTTCCTCAACCACCAACCCACTCAACCACCAACCCACTTACTCAATCACCAACCCACTCAACTTCCTCAATCCCCAACCCACTCAACTAACTCATTTAGTAATCCACTCGACTTCCTTAAAACTTACTCAATCACCAACCCACTCAACTTCCGCAATCACCAACACACTCAACTAACTCAAACACCAACCCACTCAACTGACTCAATCACCAACACACTCAATTTCCTCAATCACCAACACACTCAACTAACTCAATCACCAACCCACTCAACTGACTCAATCACCAACACACTCAATTTCATCAATCACCAACACACTCAACTTCCACAATCACCAACACACTCAACTAACTCAATCACCAACCCACTCAACTGACTCAATCACCAACTCAATCAACTAACTCAATCACCAAACCACTCAACTGACTCAATCACCAACACACTCAACTTCCTCAATCACCAACCCACTCAACTTACTCAACCATTAATCCACTCGACTTCCTCAAAACATACTCAATCACCAACCCATTCAACTTCCTCAATTACCAACACACTCAACTAACTCAATCACCAACCCACTCAACTTCCTCAATCACCAACACACTCAATTTCCTCTCTCACCAACACACTCAGCTTCCACAATCACCAACACACTCAACTTCCTCAATCACCAACCCACTCAACTTACTCAACCATTAATCCACTCGACTTCCTCAAAACTTACTCAATCACCAACCCACTCAACTTCCTCAATTACCAACCCACTCAACTTACTCAATCACCAACCCACTGAACTTACTCAATCACCAACCCACTCAACTTCCTCAATCACCAACACACTCAACTTCCTCAATCACCAACACACTCAACTTCCACAATCACCAACACACTCAACTTCCTCAATCATCATCACATTTAACTAACTAACAACTTATCAAATAACCAACCCACTCAACCTCCTCAATCACCAACCTACTCAACCACCAACCCACACAACTTACTCAACCACCAACCCACTGAACCACCAACCCACACAACTTACTCAACCACCAACCCACAAAACTTACTCAATCACCAAGCCACTCAACTTACTAAATCACAGATGCACACAACTTACTCAACCACCAAACCACTCAACTTACTCAACCACCAACCCACTGAACCACCAACCCACACAACTTACTCAACCACCAACCCACACAACTTACTTAATCACCAGGCCACTCAACTTACTAAATCACAGACCCACACAACTTACACAATCATCAGCCCACTCAAATAACTCAATCATCAACCTACTCAACCTACTCAACCACCAACCCACACAACTTACTCAACCACCAAACCACTCAACTTCCTCAACCACCAACCCACTCAACCACCAACCCACACAACTTACTCAACCACCAAACAACTTACTCAATCACCAGGCCACTCAACTTACTAAATCACAGACCCACACAACTTACACAATCATCAGCCCACTCAAATAACTCAATCATCAACCTACTCAACCTACTCAACCACCAACCCACACATCTTACTCAACCACCAAACCACTCAACTTACTCAACCACCAACCCACTCAACTTACTCATCCATTAATCCACTCGACTTCCTTAACCACCAACCCACTCAACTTATTCAATCACCAACCCACTCAACTTATTCAATCACCAACCCACACAACTTACTCAATTACCAACACATTTAACTTACTCACAAATTATTAAATCACCAACCCACTCAACTTACTTAATCACCAACCCACTCAACTTACTCCACCACCAACCCACTCAACTTACTCAACCACCAAACCACTCAACTTACTCATCCATTAATCCACTCGATTTCCTCAAAACTTACTCAATCACCAACCCACTCAACTTACTCAATCACCAGCCGATTCAACTTTCTCACCCATCAACCTGATTAACTTGCTCGTTCAACCACCAACGTTCTCAACTCACTCACTCCAAGAGGTAATACACATATCATGCATGTATATTTACATTCGCCTTGTTATATTCCAGAATCATCAACTTGTTTACTTGGAAAGGCTAGCTACGCGGACGGAGATGTTTGGAAATTCAACGAATGTGTCAACTGTACGTGTAATGGAGTAAGTATGATACAAGTTCCTATGTCTCGCACTGTAACAATCAACTATACATGTATGTGTACCGAGTATGATACAAGTCCATGTGACACTCACTGTGACATTCGACAATACGTGTACAGAGTATGATACAATTCCCTGTGACTCTCATTATTACAATCAACTATACGTGTACTGAGTAGGATACAAGTCCCTGTGACTCTCACTGTCACAACAGTAACATATAGTTATTTTATCTACATATTGGATCATAATCACGTGCAGGTCGGGTATTTGTTATATTACGATATTATTACTTTCAGTAAAAGTAGGTCAATATTCTCTTGTAGCGTCTCTCTGCCAAATGAAGCACTTATCTCGCGACAATTTTGCGCTTCTTATCTAAAATATAATTTTATGATGCTATATTGACGTCGTCTTGATAAATATAGCTTTCTGAGGTTCATAAAACTACATATATACCTCATCAAAAGTTCGTAATTAATAAATGTTGTTTTAGGATAATTTCCAATCATATATATTCTTGTTTCACTAGGGTACTAGGCCTTAATCACTACAATATATATATGTTACTGATATATACACCAACATAACTCTTGACAAATTGTGCATGTACATTTTCAGACGCGTGTTGAGTGTGTGAAGGAGCTATGCCCCTCACCTACTTGTACGGAACCTAAAATAGTGCCCGGAGTATGTTGTCCGTTCTGTGAAGGTGAGTTACCTCCCTTGACTTCATTTAAGAATCCTGTCCCACTGCAGGTTCCTTGTCATACATCGAGTCACCTCCCAGTAATTTCGTCTTCAACATTTATAACTATTGTGAGAATGATCCGGGGAACTGCATGTACAACTGATCAGTAAAATGTTCTTGTCTAATTCCAGTATGGCAACATTAATCAAGTGTAGGCTTGCAAGGTAAACGTCCTAAATTCAGCACCTGCATTTTTCTTATTTTTTGCTCTCGAACGTTCGAATTTCAACAACTACAATTCTGTAAATTGCATGGCAACATGTGATTTGTATGGAATACTTCTTCTGAAAAAGACTTCAACAACAATTATACAGTAGTGTCCATGGTAATAAATAATAATAACTTATAATACCGTTCACCTCTATTATGCCCATCAGGAGATGCGTGTTCTTTGGTTTGTTAAATTAAAATATGTACACTTTACCTCAATCGATTTTGAAATAGCCCTGCCTATTGTAGCATTAACTTGATTTTTAGCTCACCTGCCCGAAGGGCAAGTGAGCTTATGCCATGGCGCAGTGTCCGTCGTCGGTCCGTCCATCATCCGTCAACTTTCCTTTAAAACACTAATAGTTCTGAAAGGCCCAGTAGATTTTGACTAAATTTGGTCTGGATCATCCTTGGGCCAAGGGCACTCAATTTTGTATATATGGTGGGTGAGGCCCCACACGGGGCAGAGAGGTGGTGCCCAATAGGGGAAATAGAGGTAAAACCTTTTAAATCCTTCTTCTACCATAGGGATTAAGGAATTTTATCCTTATTTAGTCTGGAGCATCCTTGGTGCAAGGGGACTCAATTTTTTATTAAACGGTGGTCATGCCCCCCACCCCCACCGCCTGGAGCAGATGGGTGGGCCGAATAGGGGAAACAGAGGTGGTGTGGCCCCACTGGGATCAGAGAAGCAGGCTAAATAGGGAAAATAGAGGTCAAACCTTTGAAATCCTCCCTACAGTAGGGATTCAAGATTTTATCCCAATGTTGTCACCACCAAGTTGTCTAGTAGTGCCTGTTACTATTAGGATGTATTCAATAAAACAAGTTGACCACCAGGCCGTCACATTTTAACATTTTAAGTTTGTTCTTACTCTATCTCCAGAATACTGGAAGAATCTTTCTTGAATTTCATATGTACATACAGTACCTACCAAGGAGTGCTATATATTTACCTCATATCAAGTACTTTAAACATATATTCAGGTGAGCGATACAGGCCCTCCTGGCCTATCGATCATTTTCGCTACGCCATATTTTTGCCTTCTTGCGTTTTTAAACCGATTTGTCCAGTGTTGGATCAACCTGCCGTTGCTTTAAAACTACATGTCGATATTTATTATAATATTTGTTTATTATTGATTATTTGCTCTGTTTTAATTCATCCTCTTGTCAAGGACTGAAACGAGCATTTTTTAATTTTAAGGGTTTACATTTTTTTTTGTATTTCTGTAAAAATTGAAAAAATAACTTACATTGACAGTCCTTTATGGTATAATGTTGGATGCCTTGGGGGAATAAAAAACACATTGTTGCTGGATATCAATGATGAAAGATGCATGGTCACTGCACGATAGTGTAACAATGATTAAGAGCACGTTAATATATGAAAGTCTTTTGACATTTTATGTCAATCATTTGCTGTGAGAAGATGCCACGGAAGAAACATGTACCTGTTGCTTATATAGATAACTTAAATAAACTATCATCACAGCTAGAAAACGTTTAAAGCTTCACGATCTTCGCTTATATCACACACAGCATTGCATGTCACAAATTAGCGTCACCCTCAGTTTGAATTGCAAACATACTTCAACTCGGTCATATTTTGACGAGGCTGCTTAGGGACTTGGACCGATGCTTACTTCATACAAAATACCTGTGGTTTATACCTGTACAATCACAGGAAAGTCGGGAAATGACTCCTGTGGGCTCAACGAGGCAGGAGTTTTTTTTTTTATCTTATGGTAATGTTGTGTTTGTCGTTGGTTAATTATTTTGTGGATTCATCTAAAAATATCATTCATTTGGATTAATTTTCGGGGTTTTACATGTTCATTTGTCATACTTATTTTCGGAAATGACTAAACTTGTCTCTGGATCTGCTTTGGTGTGGAAAATATCGAAAACTGCTAAACATAAGCCTCAATCATAACAAACAGCTTAGAAGATATGCCACTTTATATATCCTACCTGTTTGAGTCATCTCCCTTTGATTTATGTTAGAGTTAAGGTTATATGTCACTTTACACATTATACCTGTGGTTTGTGTTAGAGGTAAGGCTGTATGCTACCTTACACATTATACCTGTGGTTTGTGTTAGAGTTAAGGCTGTATGCTACCTTACAAATTATACCTGTGGTTTGTGTTAGAGGTAAGGTTGTATGCTACCTTACACATGATACCTTTGGTTTGTGTTAGAGTTAAGGCTGTATGCTACCTTACATATGATACCTTTGGTTTGTGTTAGAGTTAAGGCTGTATGCTACCTTACACATTATACCTGTGGTTTGTGTTAGAGTTAAGGCTGTATGCTACCTTACACATTACACCTGTGGTTTGTGTTAGAGTTAAGGCTGTATGCTACCTTACACATTATACCTGTGGTTTGTGTTAGAGTTAAGGCTGTATGCTACCTTACACATTATACCTGTGGTTTGTGTTAGAGTTAAGGCTGTATGCTACCTTACACATTATACCTGTGGTTTGTGTTAGAGTTAAGGCTGTATGCTACCTTACACATTATACCTGTGGTTTGTGTTAGAGTTAAGGCTGTATGCTACCTTACACATTATACCTGTGGTTTGTGTTAGAGTTAAGGCTGTATGCTACCTTACACATTATACCTGTGGTTTGTGTTAGAGTTAAGGCTGTATGCTACCTTACACATTATACCTGTGGTTTGTGTTAGAGTTAAGGCTGTATGCTACCTTACACATTATACCTGTGGTTTGTGTTAGAGTTAAGGCTGTATGCTACCTTACACATTATACCTGTGGTTTGTGTTAGAGTTAAGGCTGTATGCTACCTTACACATTATACCTGTGGTTTGTGTTAGAGTTAAGGCTGTATGCTACCTTACACATTATACCTGTGGTTTGTGTTAGAGTTAAGGCTGTATGCTACCTTACACATTATACCTGTGGTTTGTGTTAGAGTTAAGGCTGTATGCTACCTTACACATTATACCTGTGGTTTGTGTTAGAGTTAAGGCTGTATGCTACCTTACACATTATACCTGTGGTTTGTGTTAGAGTTAAGGCTGTATGCTACCTTACACATTATACCTGTGGTTTGTGTTAGAGTTAAGGCTGTATGCTACCTTACACATTATACCTGTGGTTTGTGTTAGAGTTAAGGCTGTATGCTACCTTACACATTATACCTGTGGTTTGTGTTAGAGTTAAGGCTGTATGCTACCTTACACATTATACCTGTGGTTTGTGTTAGAGTTAAGGCTGTATGCTACCTTACACATTATACCTGTGGTTTGTGTTAGAGTTAAGGCTGTATGCTACCTTACACATTATACCTGTGGTTTGTGTTAGAGTTAAGGCTGTATGCTACCTTACACATTATACCTGTGGTTTGTGTTAGAGTTAAGGCTGTATGCTACCTTACACATTATACCTGTGGTTTGTGTTAGAGTTAAGGCTGTATGCTACCTTACACATTATACCTGTGGTTTGTGTTAGAGTTAAGGCTGTATGCTACCTTACACATTATACCTGTGGTTTGTGTTAGAGTTAAGGCTGTATGCTACCTTACACATTATACCTGTGGTTTGTGTTAGAGTTAAGGCTGTATGCTACCTTACACATTATACCTGTGGTTTGTGTTAGAGTTAAGGCTGTATGCTACCTTACACATTATACCTGTGGTTTGTGTTAGAGTTAAGGCTGTATGCTACCTTACACATTATACCTGTGGTTTGTGTTAGAGTTAAGGCTGTATGCTACCTTACACATTATACCTGTGGTTTGTGTTAGAGTTAAGGCTGTATGCTACCTTACACATTATACCTGTGGTTTGTGTTAGAGTTAAGGCTGTATGCTACCTTACACATTATACCTGTGGTTTGTGTTAGAGTTAAGGCTGTATGCTACCTTACACATTATACCTGTGGTTTGTGTTAGAGTTAAGGCTGTATGCTACCTTACACATTATACCTGTGGTTTGTGTTAGAGTTAAGGCTGTATGCTACCTTACACATTATACCTGTGGTTTGTGTTAGAGTTAAGGCTGTATGCTACCTTACACATTATACCTGTGGTTTGTGTTAGAGTTAAGGCTGTATGCTACCTTACACATTATACCTGTGGTTTGTGTTAGAGTTAAGGCTGTATGCTACCTTACACATTATACCTGTGGTTTGTGTTAGAGTTAAGGCTGTATGCTACCTTACACATTATACCTGTGGTTTGTGTTAGAGTTAAGGCTGTATGCTACCTTACACATTATACCTGTGGTTTGTGTTAGAGTTAAGGCTGTATGCTACCTTACACATTATACCTGTGGTTTGTGTTAGAGTTAAGGCTGTATGCTACCTTACACATTATACCTGTGGTTTGTGTTAGAGTTAAGGCTGTATGCTACCTTACACATTATACCTGTGGTTTGTGTTAGAGTTAAGGCTGTATGCTACCTTACACATTATACCTGTGGTTTGTGTTAGAGTTAAGGCTGTATGCTACCTTACACATTATACCTGTGGTTTGTGTTAGAGTTAAGGCTGTATGCTACCTTACACATTATACCTGTGGTTTGTGTTAGAGGTAAGACTATATGCTAACTAACACATTATATATGTGGTTTGTGTCAGAGGTAAGGCTGTATGCTACCTTACACATTATACCTGTGGTTTGTGTTAGAGGTAAGGCTGAATGCTTCCTTACACATTATATACCTGTGGTTTGTGTTAGAGGTAAGGCTGTATGTTAACTTACACATTATACCTGTGGTTTTTGTTGGAGGTAAGGCTATATGCTACCTTACACAATATACCTGTGGTTTGTGTTAGAGGGAAGGCTGAATGCTTCCTTACACATTATATACCTGTGGTTTGTGTTAGAGGGAAGGCTGAATGCTTCCTTACACATTATATCCCTGTGGTTTGTGTTAGAGGTAAGGCTGTATGCAACCTTAAATATTATACCTGTGGTTTGGGTTAGAGTTAAGCCTGTATGCTACCTTAT